CTTGAGTCCCTCTGACACATCCTGATGAACGAGGATGGCGATGCTTTAAGCTGTCTGTTCATCTTGAGACCGAGATTTTATCTTTTGGCTCTCCACTGCAGTCAGTCAATTAAAGCTCAGTTTCACAAATGCGTGAAGAGAACAAAAGCTGACAGACCCACTTAAATGACTGAAAACCCCCTTTTTTTAAAATTTATTTGGTTTTTTCCTTCCATCCAGTAGCTTTTGCTTTCTACCAAAGTGGCAAAGACAGTTACGGTGCCATGTTTCGGTGTGATGAAGAGATTTTAGCTTAGTCTCACCCCATTTTTTTTAAATTTATTTGGTTTTTTCCTTCCATCCAGTAGCTTTTGCTTTCTACCAAAGTGGCAAAGACAGTTACGGTGCCATGTTTCGGTGTGATGAAGAGATTTTAGCTTAGTCTCAGTCCCTGTGGTCATCATTTTAGACTGGCAAACAGAAGAGCTCAAGGAACACTGCTGTTGGGAGGGAAAAAAGTTAATCCCCAGAACAACATGCCGTGCAAATCCTTGTTTTAAAAGCTGCTCTGTAAAATTTTAGTAAGGAAAGTCCTTGTTTTGGGTTAAAACACAGCCCCGCATCATTTGCTGCACGCTGCTGGCAACGTGGCTCGCCTGCTTGTTTAGCTGTTGCTGCCATTAACGGGAGAATAATTTCCTCTCGATACGTTCAGATAGATTTTCATGCCTTTCTTAATTATGTCTCGCCAAGGGCAAAAGTACTGCGAAGCAGTGAGGTTAACGCAAAAATCTGTTGATTCGAACATACCTGACCTGAAGATTCATAAAGAGCCAATATCAATTTCCCTCCCTCTACCGTCACTTAAGAGCAGTCTGAACAAGTGGCTTTGGAGACCTATTCCTTATGGTCAAAAGAAATAGAATCGTTATCTTGTGCTTCGCTAAATGCGGTGTAGCTCATGCAAAGCTGGCTCTGCTGGGCAAGGGACACCGCATTGCACGGGGAGCAGGTGGACTTCACTTGGGAGGTTAAAATTTGGGGAGGGGGGCTGGGAAGAGACGTTTTCTCCTTTTGTCCCATCACCCAATTTGTCGGAGAGGATTTTCAGGGTGATGGCTCCAGGTGCTGCGCAGCATTTCTGGCGTGGAGATGAAAGGTCACTGGATTTCACGTTTCCTGGCAGTGACAGACCGCAGAATTACGGCCCCGAGTTGTTATTCCTAGTCATTGTGACTTCTCCAGACCGATGCGTGTCAGCTGTTGTCAACTCTCTCCTCTGTGGGATCTCAAACTTGCCTGTCGCTGTTAAAATCAAGCTCACGGCTGCCGCCGTCTGTGCTATCCCTCCTGCCCTCGGGTTCTCCTGCAGCTCAGTGAGAACATCCATCCCCTCTGCTTACGCCCAAGCCTTTCCGAGCAAAAATTCCCCATGCTCCTGTGTCCAGGGCCGTAGGCACGTCTCTGTGGTGTTACTCATACCTCCCCTGGGTCTTCTCACCTGACCCTGAACTCTTCGTTTCCAAACCTCTCCTTGTCCCTCCCCGTAAATGCGTCCACTGCTGCGGGTTGAGCCTCGTTGCTGGTGGGACGTGTGGTGTTTAAAGCCCTTCCTTCTGCATCGCCGTGATGTCGCTCCTCACGTTTCCTTCAACCCTTCGGACATGGTCTGGCAAGGATGCAAGATGCAGGGGTGGGGGGGGGTCCCCAGTGTGTTATCACTCACATCTCTTAGTCTGGTTTAATCTGTGATCCAGATTAAATGGGTTCCTCTTCTTCGCCAATTTGGAACAACTCCCACCTACTCCTGTGCGCAAAGGCAGGAATTCATTGCATTTCTCCTTCCCCGGAGCTGTTTGTTCAGAGCCAAAAACCACCCGCTCCCTCCGTGCCCTTGCTGAGGGGGTGAGCAGAGGTGCTCCAGCAGGGAGCCTCGGCCTCGGAGGTCCTTCCTCCGACACCGCGCTGGGTTAGCGACACGCTGGTCTCTGCCCGCTGCTTCAGGCCACTTGTGCATCCGTCCCCCGCTGGCTGCTCCACGAAAGAAAAACCAGACGCG